GTTTACTCTGCTGACCCATGACTGTAAGGCCAGGTCACACTCAAATCACACTGTAACATGTGCTGATGATGCCACTGAGGTGACAATCAGCGGGAACGAAGAAGCAGCTTATAGAGAGGAGGTGGAGCAGCTTATAGAGAGGAGGTGGAGCAGCTTACAGAGAGGAGGTGGAGCAGCCTACAGAGAGGAGGTGAAGCAGCTTATAGAGAGGAGGTGGAACAGCTTATAGAGGAGGTGGAGCAGCTTACAGAGAGGAGATGGAGCAGCCTACAGAGAGGAGGTGAAGAAGCTTATTGAGAGGAGGTGAAGCAGATTATAGAGAAGAGGTGGACCAGCTTATAGAGAGGAGGTGGAGCAGCTTATAGAGAGGAGGTGGAGCAGCTTATAGAGAGGAGGTGGAGCAGCTTGCTTACTGGTTAGAAGAGAACTACTTATGCTTGAATGCAGCTAAAACCAAAGAGATGGCTGTGGACATCAGCAAAGTAAGAAAAGTCCTTCCTGCAATGTAGAGAGTAAAAAACATGGAGTTCCTTGGCAGACGCCTCACCGAGGATCTTATCTGGAGCTGCAATGTCTCTACTCTGGCCAAGAAAGCAGAACAATGCCGGCACTTTCTGTGGCAGCTTAACGAGTGCAGCTCCCCCCACCCATCCTCAGGATGTCCTGCAGGGGGCGACAGAGCATCCTGACAAGCTGCATTACTGTCTGCTGCAGCTCCATCAATGATTAGACCCTGCAGCAGGTTATAGGAACAGCAGAGCGTATCACTGGGACTCTCACTGCCATCCCTGGACATCGACAAAAAAGCTGCATCTGTAGAGCCGTCAAAATGGTGACAGGCTCCTCCCACCCTTTTGACAGTCTGTCTGACCTCCCACCACAGAGGAGGCTCCACAGCCTGCAGGCCAGACCCACCCGGATGAGAAACACCTGTCTGCCCCTCACACGATACCCATAACTTCCCAACAACAGCTGGAACTATTTATATGACCACTGGAGCGTATCTATATCAGTGCGTATCTGTATCTCTGAATTAGTGTGTATCTGTATCAGTGTGTATCTGGATCTGTGCATATCTGTATCTGTGTGTTTCTGTACCTGTGTGTATCAGGACCAGGAGCGGTAGGAGCAGGAGCGGCTGTGTGGTGAGTTGGCCAGGTGGGGACAGGAGTGCGACCATCAGAAGTGTTTTATTTGTATGTTGTACATATCATTTGTATGTTGGATGTATGACTGACTGTCAGAGGTGAGAATGGTGACATGATGAATGATGGAGCAGATGGTTTTTTATATTTTTTTGTTATTTTTCATTTTTATATCTTTACCACATTCCAAAATGTATAATGGCCCCGAAGAAGCAACATTTCACGGTACTGATGTGGGACTCAGTACAAAAACGCTTGTGCTCATGTGTCCTTATATGTTGATATGACAGTGAAGAATCTTGAATCTTGGGATGAGTCCAAACCCACTGAGTCTCACACAGTCCCCAGTATGCATTACGTCCTGTGTGCATATTAACCTGCTTCTTTACATGGAGAAATGTCTTCCTAAGCGTGCAAAGCCATGGTGAAGGTTTTTCACTATTATTATTATTCAGCTGCAGGAACTGAAGGATTCTTTCATTGTGATATTTTATGTGCTTTGAATATTTTGTTTTTTTTCTTTACTTTTTTTGCTGTTGTCTTAAATAAACCGCGACTGCATGTTTGCCGATTCAGACGTCACTGTGAGGTAAAGCACAGCACAGCCGTGACGTGGGGCTGCTTCTGGGGCCCTTTGGCCTTTTCACACTCATTCAGCACCAGCTCTGTGCTCACAGACAGCCGACTGTCTGGGCTAATTGCTCTGTCAGCCTGTTTACAGGGTCTGTAAGCTGGACTTGAGCCCGTTAGAGGAGATGTGGGGGAATGAGGCTCCTCTGAATGTCTTTGGCTTTTCTCTCTGTAGTTTGCTTTTTGGGGTTCAGATTGTTATGTTTGTGCCTCTTCATGAGACCTCGCCCCCCATCCTGTGTTTGTATGTTGAGTAATAAACTAATTTCTGCTCCTTTGACCTGCCTTGTTATTCACTTCCACCCAACACTCTGTCACAATTTTGAACAAAGACATTCGTTTACATTTTTCAAAGTAATGAGCTGAAGTCGCCCGCAGCCTCCTGCCTACGAACGCCAGCGACTGCCTTAGCAAAGGAGCTCAGGCGGCTGGCAAAGGGCCGAGCGCCACATAGCAGCTCCGTACCTGGAGTCTCCCTCCAGCTCCTCCTGCTCGACCAGCGTGGCCACGATGGGGCCCATCGGCACCTTGTCAGTGAGGGTTAGGTTTAGGGTTAGGTTTAGGTGTAATAGGCCATGGTGACGGGGGACAGGATGAGGCGGCTGGCCATGGCGCTCATCTGCTTACACAGCCTCTCCGCGTCCTGGCTGATACGCTGGTCTCTGGCACACAGACACCAGCGTCACTCTCCGGCTGTATAGGCAGCGGCAGTGTGGCCCTCGCTCTTTATCACGCGTGGTTTCAGATGGCGCACACTTATTCACACTTCAAAGAGGCCTTCGGCCAGGAACCACAGGGCTAGGAGGAGCCCAGAGACCCGGGCCGGGCGACACAGAAAGGGCCGGAACTGGCAGAGCAACAGATGTTTCATGGCACTGAACTACATTAAATGCTAAAACATCACACAGCAGCTGAAGCCAAAGCATCACTGTACACAGGGCCATGTGAATACCGCCCCGCGTTTGATACACGGGCGCGAGTCAGTCACTGAGCACAGCAGCCGGGGCGTACGGGTTGTCCAGATCCTCACGCAGCACGTTCAGCGTGTAGTAGACCCTTCCCTGGAAGTAGGAGCCATGAAGCCGCTCAGTCAGAGCCCTCCGCCAGCTCACATACATCAGGCTGCAGATGTGCTGGTTCAGGTTCTTCAGCTGAGCGAAAACACAAAACTGCCATCAGACCCTGCAGCTGTGAGGCTGCAGCCCGGCCTGCAACATCCAGAACCATGTGTGAAGGACAGAACAGTGTCAGTGTTCTGTATCAGTCCTGCTGCTGTGCTCCACAGAGGAACTCAGCGGGTCTGAAGGAGAATCCGAATTTCACACCATCATTAATCCCGGAAAGTTTACTTCATGGAGAGAATGGAGTTTTTAAGATGGTAAACTGACTGTTAACTAGTTTCATAACTGAATTCATTACTGATGGTTACTGGTTAAGGGTTCCCGTAAGCCCTGTGGATGTCTGACTACAGACTCCTGACCTTTGAACTTACCATGCAGCAAACATCAAGAGGCCTTTAAAACCAGGACAGTCTTTGCTTGGAATGACACCCAGTTGGTAAATTATCAGCCATCAGGCTGGAACGGTGACCTCACATCTCCAGCATGGTGGGTCTGAATTCCACGTCTGCTGCGTGTCTGGAGTTTGCATGAGCTCCCTGGTTCTGCAAAGGTCCAAAATACAGCAGGCTGAAGACACACAGTTACACTAATTGGCATCTCTGAGTATTTTGTAAGGTCTCACTCTGCAACCCTGACCAGGATAGATGGTTAGAATATGGACATTCTGAAATGCAGTGACCATATTAGCCCAATACTCATTCAGCTTCACTGGCTTCCTGTCCAGTACAGGACTGAGTATTATCACATGCTGTAAACCTAGTGAGCATATCACCCTGATACTCATTCAGCTTCACTGGCGTCCTGTCCAGTACAGGACTGAGTATTAGATACTCTTGCTTACTTTCAAAGCCTTTCATACCCTTGCTCCTAGTTACCTGGCTGACCTTTTACACTCTCATACTCTCTCCGCTCCTCCTCACCGGAATGACTTACTATTCCTTCTGTTGGACTCAGCACCATGGGTGGCAGGACCTTCAGCGCTCAGCATCCACACTATGGAACTCTCTCCCCCTCAATATCCAGCAACTGCATTCAGTTTAAATCGCACCTTAAAACTCATGTTTATATTAGCTTTCTCTATTTCAGGAATTATTTTATTGTCACTCTTGTATCATTTATACTGTGTATGGAGTTTCTTATTTATCGTTGTTTATTATTATAAAATGTTACTAAGTTGTTTGTGTATGGCGACATTGAGTGTCCTGAAAGGCACCTGTAAATAAAATGTATTATTGATTAAAATTAAAACTATTAATAATAATAATGATTTTCCCTGTGCTTCTTGGAATATCCCCCAGGACTGACATCCATTGAGTGATTGGTAATGAGAAATATTTATTTTTTGGCTATTTGTCTAGTCATGCTTTTGCACGGGACTGACAACATTATGGTGGTTTGTCAATAAGGGTGTTATACCTGTTTAAAAAGGCAAGTTCTAAAGCCAGCAGTTTTACTGACTGAAGTTCATTAATGGGCCTAATATCTATTTATATACAGCAAACAGCTCTAGCTGTGCATTAGCTGCACGTAACATATATCCTACATGACTTAAAGACCCTGACCAGGATGAGCTGTTATAAGTTGGATGAGTGGATGTATCTGTGACGTTTGGGGAGATGAAGGACCCCAGTGCAGCTGTGGAGCAGGAACCAAAGCAGCACAGGCCAATCATATCCACAAAGGGCCAGTGTGTGTGCAGGTTTTTTGGGTAACCTTCAGGTCAGCTGTTCAAACCCAGGTGTGAGGACTGTTCAACCAATCAGTCCTCTAATTTGGGAGTTACAGTGAGACCTGCACACACAGCGGCTCTTTCTGGGTAAGATTGGCCACCCCCGAACAGGGAATGGCACTGGGAACGACACCGATGACAACGACCGGACTGGGGAGCAGGTACTGATATATACAGACTAACAAAGAGTATGATTGATTAGACCCAATAGGGAGGACAAGGGATGACCAGCAGCACCCTCTGTTGGCCAAACGGGAGCATGACAGTATTCCTTTATACCACATACTGATTACAGACATGCATATACTCATCTACCCCAAGGGAAGGTAACAGCTGGAATATATTGGTGGAATCAAGAGAAAATGAGAACACAGGAAAAAGGTACGATTGGTCTGACAGAGAGAAAAACAGCTAAAACTCAAATTTTATACAATGAATCAAAAAAATTCAGCAAGTTTCTGTAAAAAGATTTACTTTATTGATCCAACGGGAAATTCTGGATCCTGTACATAACAACATGCAATATGAAGGAGAGCTGCAGGACTGAGCAGAGAGCAGGGCTCACTGCTCTCATTATATACACACATGATATAACTGCAGGTCACTGGCAGGCTGTAGGGCCGCCCTGTTCCTCTCTGGAGCTGCTGAGAGAGCAGGGCTCACTGCTCTCATTATATACACACATGATATAACTGCAGGTCTGATTTAGATCAAAGCCGGAATAACATTAGAAGTACAGTAAGTAACTCTGGGCCAGCGCATTTTCAAACAGGCACCACATGCATAACAGATCTTACACATGTAACAGTGTCTCTAAACACGCTGTATATCTGCACACTGCAGATAATATTCACTCATCAGCCTGTCGCCTATGGAAAGAAACGCTGCTGGTGCAGTCACTGCGCTGAGCGATGCTCCTCTTCCTCTTGGTGTAAACAGCAGCTCCAGTGAGCAGAGGGACGATCAGGGCCAGGAAGAAGAAGGAGAGCCTGACGGGGAGCACTAGGAGAAAAGCACTGTCATGTTATCAGAGTGACACCATGTGGAGGGTCAGGGAGACGCATGCTGACAGTGAAGGTGACAGTGAAGCGTCACACTGCATAGTGTCAGAAAGGGATTAATGAAGCAGACTGGGCATGAGTCTGACTGTCAGAGAAACGGCTGCATATATTCAGGGATCCTGCAGGATATGAGCGTCTTAATCAGATTTACATGAATGCATTTGTCTTCAGTTATTATACTGATGCATTAGTCAGACATTTAAACACACAGTGATAAATACCTTAATGGTAAACTCACTCACATTTTCACAAGTGTCACATCCATTATGTATTACTCTTACAAAACAACTCTGAAGGTAAAAACTGGAAACCAGAAATGATATCACTGTACCTGCTCCTGTAGCTGTTGCACCTACAGTTGTGTGACTTGTATGGTTAGTAAGGGAACCAGTGTGAGTTGGTGTCTTCAGTGTAGTTTCTGTATGATCACTGTTGTCTTCAGGACTGTCTGTCCATTGAGTACAGACACACACAGAATTTTTTGCTCAGTTTCTACCACTAACCAGCTGGAGAATGTTAACTTGAATCAGACACTGTTAAGGACTAAACACTCATGTTATTTTGGTAAAAGGGTCTCACATTGAGGTTTTGTAGGAGAAAGATGAACAGTCACAGAAATGGCTGTGGATGTTTTCTCTGTCGGTCTGTGTTTGTTTCCTGTAGTTTTACCACGACCCTGTTCTGGATAAACAGTAATGAAGCTGGAAGTTACTTAAGATCTTTCCATGATGAGCTTTTCAGTAACAGCACTTTATTAAAAAGTGAATCTGGGTGTGGAAACACACTTTCATCCCTGCTAAGGGGACCTGATCTTTTTAAAATTAAACATCCTGAATAAGCAGCTGCAGTAATACACTGTGCTACTGAATCATAGTTTGCTTTATTATACTTATTTTTTAATATTCACACATTTTATTTTTGTAAGATTTAAATAATATTTAATATCCAAATATTTAACATTTCCCCGCAACCCAGGAGGATAAACGGGTTGGAAAATGTATGGATGGATATTTAACATTTATTACATTTCTTTAACTGCTGAATTATTTCTTTTTAAAGGATTTTAAATTTAAATTTAAAAATAGATCTTTAAAAAATCACAAACCAGAAATGAGACACCGTACCTGCTTGTAACACCCAACTCTCAAGGGTACAAACAATAAGCTTAAATCAAGGGAAGAAATTGGAGGATGGGCCAGTAGGTTCAGCTGCTGGAGCACAAGGAGCGTTCAAATCAGACATCAGAAGCCAGACTTTAACAAGAACCCTTTTTAATATCTAATAGGAAATTGTAGAAAGAGGAAAAGAGAGATAAATAAACAGACAAATGAATGAGTAGTTATTGACCCAAAAAGTTAATTTACAAATTTAACAACAGCAATATTTCAATATTGGTATAAAACAACCTCTTTTCAAAATTTAAAATTTTCCTCTCAAAGAAAACTTCTGGTGCAAATTATCAGCAAATAATAATAATAAAAATAAAATAAAATATGCAATTCAGGAAAATAAGGTTTTATGCTAAATCAAGTTCAAGTCCAGTTCAGAGTCTCAAAAAAATAATATTCTTTTGATTGTGAGTGAATGAATGTGTATGTGTGTGTGTGTGGAGCTGCTGAAGAGCTGTTGTGGTGACACAAGCTGGGCCTACCACACTGGAGAGTGCAACAGGGTCTGTCCAGTTAATTCAGGCAAAAATCACTCCTTCAAAGGGGTCCGAGTGGGAAGGCTCGCCATCAAACGTCACAGTCCAGAGGCAGGACATCAGCCCAATCAAAAAAACCTGACCTGCCAACAGACATGGCCAGTAGAATACGCAGAAGAAATGCACCATCAACGTACGCAGTTATACAAAGTAGCATCACATGTCCACAACTTTGACCGCATTAATTCAACTAATCAAAAACACAAAAATCACTTACATACCCAAAATACATGCAACAGTATCTCTCTCCATTACAAACGTCATGTAATAAAGCTTTTACAACAATCCTCTCGACTTTACATAATAAACAGAATTAACTTTTTTTCCCGTTCATTTCAAATTATTACATTTAAGATGGCTACCATCAAAACCTCAACAATGCAATTTTCAATTTTAAAGTACAACATTAAACCTAAAATCTCCTTTTACAACATATAAAGAAAATAAAGCTTACCGATCTCCGTATGAGTGAATACATGCCTAAAAATGGCTGTGGCAAATGCATCCACAAAATTTAAAGATGTAAGCAGCGTTACATGAAGCCTACAAAATCCGTCCAAACTCGCAACCGAATCCTCAACCTATGGAAATGCTGTAAATATTTCCGTACTTTTATTAGTGTTCGTCGTTATTAAGCTCCAGTTTTTTCCCAACGCCAAGGTAAATCTGGATGTGGAAACACACTTTCATCCCTGCTAAGGGGACCTGATCTTTTTAAAATTAAACATCCTGAATACGCAGCTGCAGTAATACACTGTGCTACTGGATTACAGTTTGCTTTGTCCTTCTCATTTTCAGCTGGGGGGAATTTCTAGAAAATTGGCTGTTTTCAATAAAGTGCTGTTTATGAAGATGCTCAAAGTATGAAACAATTCTGAAGTTCTTATGTGAAACATAAAAAGATCTTTGTAATAAATACTAATAGCCTGAACTTTCTGGTACAACCCTACATTTTTTTAAATTGATTTAACATTTGGCAATTTTTCTGAATAACTACTTATAAAGAATTTCATATACCAAACACAAATGCTTTTCTGAAAGAGTGTGTGCAGCCCGTGCTTATATCATAGGCAGTCCCCGGGTTAAGAACAGACAACTTGTACTGAACGGGCTGCAATAAAGTCCATTATATAAAACTTTCAGGTTAACACAATGGTTCATAATAACAAAGTTTGTGACGCTAGTGAAACTATTGCATGGCTCTCGGTACAGTACAGTACAGTGTAGTTGCGTTTATTATTACCATATAATTATTATTGTTATTATGTAATGTATTATTATTATTATTATTATTATTCCGACTTACTGTAAGTACAAATTCAACTAAAAGACAGACTTAGGGAGCAGATCTCGTTCGTAACCTGCGGACTCCCTGTATTTACCAACAGCGGTAGGTTTATATTCAGTTTACTCTTTAATACTCTGTCTAGTGCCTGACATTACAGAGACAGATCAGCTGTCAGATATGAGAAGGAGAGTTCCTACCAGGGCTGGATGTGAGCTTCACCTCCCCCGTATCCTTATCCAGCAGCTGACATCGCCATTCCGTCTGGTCCTTCTCTGTCCCCGGATGGTTAATCGGCAGAGTGGAGATGCAGGGGTCTGTGTGTGTCTGGGAGCTGGGATCTCTCTGCCCCGGGAGGTCTGTGTCACTAACCCACTGCAGAGTGAGAGATGGGGGACACCGTCCATCATGGGGGTACAGGAGACACTGCAGGGTCACGGCGCCGCCAGACTGCGACTTTCTCACTGTAAGAACACAGAAAGCAAACAAAACCAGGGCAGAAGTACAGAGAAGGGGCAAAGCGAGAAATCGTAAACCGAGAAACCAAAACCGTCATACACAATAATCAATCAATCAATAAGCAAACCAAAAAAACAATCCAAAATATGAGCAGAGCTCTCGAAGGGTCTTGCTGTCCGGCTTTTCACTCCGGGAACCAGGAAGTGACGTGCGACGCATTGGAGGAGCCGTGGGCGGGATCTGGTCAGCAAGGCGGAGCCAAGATGCAGCCGGCGAATGACGACGAAGGAGGGAGGTCCGGAGATTCTGCAGGGCTCACCCTGGAACTTACGGCACGTAACACCCCCCCACACAAGAGCGAACCCGACAGGAGTTCGCCATCACAATCCAGATTTGCACAATCAAAGCACCCAAAAACAAAAGAACTGAGAATCAGGAGAAATAGAAACCACCTGCGAATAACCGAGGGTAACGAGATGTCAAGTAGAGTTTAGATTCTCTGCCCGAGCCCGAGCCCAGACCCGACCCGACCCGACCCGTGGGCCGGGTCGGGCCGATATTTCCTGCCACTATCTTCGGGCCGGGCCGGGCCGGGCGGGGCCATGATCAAGCGTTTGTGTGTGTTTTTTTTTTTTTTAAATCATTAC